CTGGTCGCCACACGACAGGCCATTAATTCAGAGATGAGTTGTTGGAGCAAGGAATAACAATTTTACTCAGAAAGCCAGCAGCCTGAGAAGACAGCAAACTTATGGCCCCCAAAGAACCATCTTGCCTGAGTTAGCCTTCAGGCTCCTTTTATACTAAAAGTCAAACACTTCCTGGTCCCCATCAGCCTCTGGAGGGAATATGTTAATTTCTTCCTCCCTGCAGGCATTTGCAGGTGGGGCCTAGTCAGGAGGTTTCCTGTGAGTTAAACAAAGGTTTTTTGGTTTTTTTTAAAATTCATTAATTTTTTTATTGAAGCTTCATGTTCATTACCTGGGAGGCAGGTTCCCAGAGATGAGCCAGTTATGTGCAATTTAAGCTTATAGGCAACGCCCCTTTAGTGATTAACTTGTAATAGAATACAAAAGGTTTTCCCTCATCACATTTGCTGTTATGGAAACAGAATGGATGTGTGGAGTGGGGCAGGGAGGTAGGCATCTTGGGTGTCCCCTTGGCGAGTTCAGGGTTTTCCTGACAAAGCCGATGCTGAGACCTTGATAATCATCCATGAGACATTTCAGCGTGTTGCGATTTCCAGCACGCCGTCGGTTAGGTAGCTAATTGACTCTGCTTCCAGAGGAAGGGAGGAAAAATAAGTGGCTTATGCTTTGGTTGCTACCAATACACCCTGCGGTCGTGTCCCATGGAGTCCAGCTTCAGGAGGACAGTGTACCCAGGGACCCGAGGTGACCCCTGCGGGAGTGGGGGCCGTGGGGGAGCTGTGACCTCAGGTGGGTGGGCTCCTGGGGGCCCAGGACAACTGCATTTCACCACCCTGACTGTGTCCCTCAAGATGAGACCCTGGCAGAGAAGGCTGAGGGTGTGTGTGCTCTCATTAAACATCATTTTCTCCTTCACGAAAACAATGGCTCACTGTCCCCAAGGAGGCCGGAAGGTGGGCAGACCCCAGCGGTTAGCAGAGGCCTCCAGCTCACCCAGGTATGCATGTACGGACAAGAGATCATGGAATGAAACTCAGTAGATTCCCCCAAGCAGGCCCCAACAGAGATGGAGAGCTGACCAAACTCTCTTCTCCAAACGATTTTTCTTCCTTCTCTCAACTGCTGTACAAGCAGGTTGTCTGGGATGCGAAGGGAGCCCTGGGGAGAAAAGAAACCCGTATATCATTTGTAGGCGTCTATACTTTGACAGGATTACAATTTGGCTGGACTTTTCTTTTGACACCACGCCTAAAAGATTTAATTATTTTAAACACATTTTCAAAACTATCAGAAAACAACCCGAAATTCTAGATTTGGCTCAGTCCACCAGTAAAAATGCCAAACTACTTCATCCTGGAATGATAACAGAAGTATTTTGCAAATCTATGAATGTGATCGCCTGGTGATCTAAGTTGTACACATATTATTTGCTGGTGGTATATGAGTCAGCAGGAACGAACATCCCCACACAGCCAGTGTGTGGCCCTGGGGAGGCCCCATCATAGCAGCGTGGGTCCGAGTCATGGAGACACAGAGAGATGAAGACAAAGGCCCTCCAGCCCTGCATGGTTCTGATGCCACATATCCCCACTGGCTGGTATATAGCAGCCCTGGGTTGTCTCTGCCCTGTCTGGAGTCCTGGACACATGAGGCTCCTTTAGGCTAATGTCTGTCTCCAGCAGCCGAAGGGCCTTAGAGACCTTCATACCAGGAGCAGCCTGGGATCAGCAGGTATTTGACACGGAGAAAAGAAGGTTGGGAGGAAGATGATAGTCTTGATGTATTTGAAGGGATGGTCATGGAACAGAGGAACTAGACTCACTTTCTCCTTCCCCAGGAGTTGGAAACTAAGGGAAATTGTGTCTTGATTGCACATAACAAACAGCTCTGGGGACTTCCTTGGTGGTCTAGTGGTTAAGAACCTGCTTGCCAGTGCAGGGGATATGGGTTTGATCCTTGATCGGGGGACTAGGAAAAACCCATGCACCATAATGAAGACCCAGCACAGCCAAATAAATAGTTGGGCAGTTTGGTACCATCCGATCTATCCCAAGGAAGGTGACTGTCCTGGGACCCATGCTGTGACCTAGAGGGACATAACAGAGAGGATCCAGGTCCCAAGTGAGCAGGTTGGTGGCTTTCAGGCTTCTTCTGTTTCAAAAGTTTGTGACCTTTGGGGCTGCCTGCCGGAGAGCCTCGGAAAAAGGAGCTGACCCTCCCGGCCTGCATACGTGCATGCTTAGTCACTCAGTCGGGTCTGAGTCTTTGCAACCCTGTGGGCTGTATCCCCGCCAGGCTCCTCTGTCCACGGGATTCTCCAGGCAAGAATGCTGGAGTGGCTTGCCATTTCCTTCTTTTGGAAAACTCTGAGGGTAGGATTAAGAGTGCTGGGTTGACTGCCAGAGATTCAATGCTAGCCCTGGTTCTGCTGTTGCCTGGCATGTGGACTTCCAAACCCAGGGATCAAACCTGGGTCTCCTGTGTGGCAAGTGGGTTTCTTGCTGGCTGAGCCGCCAGGGAAGTCCCTCCTGGCCTGGGTTACTATCTATCTGAGTGTCAGGAAGTTATTTTAAAGGGTGACTGCAGTGTATCTCATAGTTTTATTTTTGAGCAATTTGAATAGGCTTTTACTTTCTGAAGGCTTTGGGGAAATCTAAAACCATGCGACGTTGATTTTAATTTCACATATGTTACAGATCAAAAGATTCTTCGTGGAAAAAAATACTCTCATGATTTGAGATGATCTAATTCTCATGCCTTTTTCAGAATAGTTCCATGGCCTCAACTGGAGACCATCTATGACCCCTCGAGATGTCTCGAGAATGACATGTGTCGTCATTATCACACCAAAGCACACGTTTTCATTTTGTTAAAACATATTTTTATTGTTGAGAAGTGATATGTAACATTTGTTGTTTTTATCAAAGGAAAAAAAAGAAGACGTTGTAGACAGGCAAACACATTTTCCAGGGACCTATGATTCATCCACCAAAGACTTTATGAAGATCAGTTTCATTACGTTTATTACATTTTCAGCTACAACTGAAAAAAGAAAGTGGAAAAAATAGTCAAAATTAATGATGGCCTCACAAAGCTATGTGAACCTTCTAAAAAGTGAGAACTGTGTCTATTTCTAAGCTTTGAAGAATTTATAGGAAGGTTATGTTATTTTAACACATTCCTTTCAGCAGCATAAAATTTCAAGTTCTTAATAGTGAATTAGAGTCCACTTGATTAGCTGGTGTGGGGTTGCTGCGTGTCCCAAAGTGTGTTCCCGGTAGGGCCACTACTACAAACTGTTCTTCAGCTGGTTCTGTGGGTTTTGTGGTTAAAAAAAAAATCCGAAAAAGTTAGAACCCACTTCCTTGACTGGCAGAGTCATAATTCTCAGTGGCATATTAACAGGCTCTGAGATGTTTCACAATAAAGATCCTTGTTGATATCCCTTGGAACACATCTTGGGAAACCCTAAGGGTAGTATCAAGAACATTGGGTTGATCTCCAGAGATCGGTGCTAGCCCTGGTTCTGCTCTTACCTGGCTTGTGGACTTGGGCAAGCCACTTTCTTTTACCGTGCCTCAGTTTCCCCAGGTGTGTAACAGAGTTGGGGATGTGCTGCCTGTGGTACTTAGACTTGGTGTTCATAGTTAATCACTCTCCCTCCACTGTTAAAGGTCTAGACCCCCTGCCCCACTGACTTTGGGCTTATCCATAGGGTATCTTTTAGCTAATGGAACATGAATCCATGGACTTCAGTCACATGTGGGCACAAACTCTTTTTAGGAAGCACTATAGAAGCAGCTGCCCTCTCTCCTTCTCTTTTCCTCTGCCTTGAGAGACAGAAGAAGCTTCTGTTTGAACCTGTATCCTGAGATGAGAAGATGGGCAGAGCAGGGCCACAGCAGTGGGCCCAGTAATGTAGTGAGAAAGACATCTTTCCTGTCATAGCCGTGGAAAATTTGGGGCTGTTTGTCACTGCAGCAACACCGACCAATACACCAGCTCAGGTCTCCCTCCTGCTCTAACATTCCCACATTCCTAAGTGCATCTGACCCCAGCTCTGAGTTGTCCCCTTGAGTCTCTCCATCCTCGTCAGCCTTGGACACACAGACATGCCCATGATACTCCTTCCCACAAAATCTCCAGGTAGCCCTTTGCCACCGCCAACAGATAGAGGGTCAATGGTCTGTGGTGGGAGACGCAACAAGAACCTGAGCTGGCTAGGATGTCGATAGGTTTTAGGCATTTCTGAAGATCGTGGGTGGTTGAGTCAGAAGGCTGGGGGTCTGGAGGCTTGAGAGAGTTCCCTTGGAAAGAACCCATTCACAGTTAGTTCAGTTCAGTCAGTCAGTAGTGTCCGACTCTTTGCAACCCCATGGACTGCAGCATGCCAGGCCTCCCTGTCCATCAGCAACACCCAGAGATTACTCAAACTCATGTCCGTTGAGTTGGTGTTGCTATCCAACAATCTCATCCTCTGTCGTCCCCTTCTCCTCCCATCTTCAACCTTTCCCAGCATCAGGGTCTTTTCCAAGGAGTCAGTTCTTCACATCAGGTGGCCAGAGTATTGGAGTTTCAGCTTCAGCTTCAGTCCTTCCAATGAATATTCAGGACTGATTTCTTTTAGGATGGACTGGTTGGATCTCCTTGCAGTCCAAGGGACTCTCAAGAGTCTTCTCCAACACCACAGTTCAAAAGCATCAATTCTTCAGCACTCAGCTTTCTTTACAGTCCACCTCTCACATTCATACATGACCACTGGAAAAACCATAGTCTTGACCAGACGGACCTTTGTTGGCAAAGTAATGTCTCTGCTTTTTAATATGCTGTCTAGGTTGGTCATAACTTTCCTTCCAAGGAGTAAGCATCTTTTAATTTCATCCACAGTTAAGAGCTGGCAGATATTCCAGTCTGCCTGAGTGTAATAATGCTGTCCTAGCGGGTGGGTTCTGGAATGTTCTAGGCCTGCCAAGCTCTGGTGTCTGTGGACAGAGACACGGGAGCCCAGGCACTGCTGAGCTTGGCCTGCATGTGGCAGAGCTGGGAACGACTTTGCCCTTCCTCCATCAGCCCAGAGGCCGGGAGTTGGGCCCTCAGCATGGGGAACTGGCCCGCTGACATCTCATAAGACGAAAGTGAGCAGAAGAAACCAGATGGAGCCACAGGGAGGCCTATAGGCCCACGTCCTGCTCCCTAGGTGGAGAGTTTTGGGGGAAGCTTTGAGGAGGCTTGAGGGTCCTGTCTGGCAGGTCTGGACAAGCCAAGAATACGGGTTGTACTCTTACCGTGATGTGGGTGTTTTAACCCCCAGAGGGTGTGGCCCAGAGTCACCTGCGTGAGGACTCAGTCTTTTAAAACCTGCCCTGTAATCTGTCCCGAGGAAATGCTTAAGACAAATGAAGATACGTGAAACCTGGGATTGTTTACATATCACAATGTTGAAAACAACCTGTGGACTAGTTGAAGGAGGTGTTGAATCCGGGCCCATACATCAGTGGAGAAAACCGCGAGACCAAATGGCCTGGTATTTGTTGTTCTGTATCAGTGTGAGAGCCACCAGCCGCACTAGATGCGAAATCAGCATGTGAGATGTGGCTGGTGTGAACTGAGAGATGCTGTGAGTGTAAAAGACACCCCAGTTTAAACACTTAATAAGAAAAGAGTAATGTTAAATATTTCATTAATAATTTTTGTTAAAGGCATCTTAAATGCATCTTAAATATTGACATGATTACGAGTTGAAATGATAATGCTTCAGATACATCAGGTTTAAATAGAACAGATTTCTAAATATTTCTTCAGCTGTCTCTTTTTATCTTTTTGATATAGCTACTGGAGAATTTTAAATACATTGGAGGTATGAATGGGCTTCTCTTGTGGCTCATCTGGTAAAGAATCCGCCTGCAATGTGGGAGACCTGGGTTCGATCCCTGGCTTGGGAAGGTGCCCTGGAGAAGGGAACAGCTACCCACTCTAGTATTCTGGCCTGGAGAATCCCATGACACATCTGTCAGGTGGGGCTGACCTAGACCTCTCTCCCTCATTTGTTTCTGTTCATACACTTCTCCTTTGTTTCTAGTTTGCTCCGCAGACAGCTGTGCATGTGCGTGTCGGTCGTGGGGACACTGGGCCTGCATGTGGGCGGTGGCACAGAGACAGCCGGGGTGGTAGTTCTCCAACAAGGGGGAGAACCCTCCAGAAACTCAAGCTCCGACAGCCGCTTCTGCCTCAGAAACTTTCCAGGTACACACGTAAATATTGGCTAAACAGACATGTTCTTAGTAAGTCTGACTCCCCGGCCCAAAGATGCATGACAAAGGTGGGTCTAAAGAAGAAAGGAAACCAAGGAAACTGTTGATAATTTATAGGGGGGAAGAAATGAATCATGAGCCTCCTTAAAAACAGAAATGTCCCTGAAGCATTTAAAATACCATTTGCTCCGCTGTAGTGACTTTTCCAGGGGAGATTATCTCATCTTACATTCGTGTTTTCCTTCTGACTTTTACTCTCTAACCAAAACAAGCTCCTAAGAGCAGGAGCCGAGGATTACTTGGCTCCTGTTCGCTGGCTGGGGCTTCCCTGGTGGCTCAGTGGTAAAGAATCTGCCTGCAGTGCAGGAGACCTGCGTTCGGTCCCTGCGTGGGGAAGATCCCCTGGAGAAGGGAAAGGCAACCCACTCCACTGTTCTTACCTAGAGGATCCCACGGACAGAGGAGCCTGGCGGGCTACAGTCCATGGGGTCACAAGAAGTGGGACACAACTGAGGAGATTAAGCAGCAGCGGCAGCTGGCTGGGGCGGGAGATGAGAAACTTCTCACAGCTTGAGTCCGATGAAGGGCCTGGGCTCAGGCAGCCTGGGTCTGAACCCCGGCTCTGTCGCTTATTAGCTGCATCCAGTTAAACACTGTGTATTGACTGCATTTTCTTATTTCCTATATTCCTGATGCTCTGGCATTTGGGGACTTGAACCTGGAGAGACTGCTCCTCCCAGCACTAGCTAATTCTTTGTTGTTGTTGTTTTTTAGTCACTAAACCATGTCCAACTCTTATGTGACCCCATGGACTGCAGCCCGCCAGGCTCCTGTGTCCACGGGATTTCCCGGGCAGGAATACTGGAGTGGGATGCCATGCCCTCCTCCAGGGAATCTTCCCAACCCAGGGATCAAGCCCGCGTCTCCTGCATTGGCAGGTGGATTCCTCACCACTGAGCCACCAGGGAAGCCCAGCTAATTCTTACAGACAGTAAACAGCGCCCCTGCAAGCCTGTCTTTGACAGAGAAACTATCAATCCAGAGTTCATATCTTAACCGTCTCTCCTACATCTACCTGGCATTGACCATGTCAATATTCCCCTGCTCTAAATTATCCTAGAGTCAGGAGCCAGACAACCAGGGACAGTCCTACAGCCTAGAGCCTGCTGTAATTATTCAAACTCACCCGTCCTAAACTGCTTGCTCTGCCCTGCCTTGCCTCCCCGCAAAACCCTAGTAAAGGCTGTGAACCAAGCTTCTCTCCCCCTGCCCTCTGCCCGTGACTGATCCACTGCATCCCTGGGTCGCCCTGCACAGTGTTCCATGCCTCCTACTTCTCGGAAGCTGTGAGTACAAACCCCTTCCTCTGTGATAGTCATTTCTGGGGTTTCATGCTTTGTTGTTGTTCAGTTGGCGGGTTGTGTCCGACTCTTTGCGACCCCACGGACTGCAGCACGCCAGGCCTCCCTGTCCATCACCAACTCCCCCGGAGCTTGCTCAAACTCATGTCCATCAAGTCGGTGATGCCATCCAACCATCTCTGCTTCTGCAGCCCTCTTTTCCTTTTGCCTTCAGTCTTTCCCGGGTGTCCCTTGTGGCTCAGCTGGTGAAGCATCTGCCTGCTCTGCAGGAGACCTGGGTTCAATCCCTGGGTTGGGAAGATCCCCTGGAGAAGGGAAAGGCTATCCACTCCAGTATTCTGGCCTGGAGAATCCCATAGTCCATGGGGTCACAAAGAGTTGGACATGACTGAGCTACTTTCACTTTCTTGGGCTTCCCTCATAGCTCAGTTGGAAAAGAATCTGCCTGCAGTGCAGGAGACCCTGGTTTGAATCTTGGGTCGGGAAGATCCGCTGGAGAAGGGATAGGCTACCCACTCCAGTATTCTTGGGCTTCCCTTGTGGCTCAGCTGGTAAAGAATCTGCCTGCAATGCAAGAGACCTCGGTTTGATCCCTGCATTGGGAAGATCCCCTGGAGAAGGGAAAGGTTACCCACTCCAGTATTCTGGCCCGGAGAATTCCAGGGATTGTATAGTCCATGGGGTCACAAAGAGTCGGACATGACTGCACCTTTCACTCAATCTTTCCCAGCTTCAGAGTCTTTTCCAATGAGTCGGTTCTTTGCATCAGGTGGCCAAAGTATTGGAGGTTCAGCTTCAGCATCAGTCCTTCCAATGAAAATTCAGTGTTAATTTCCTTTAGGATTGACTGGTTTGTTATCCTTGGAGTCCAAGGGACTGTCAAGAGTCTTCTTCAGCACCACCACTCAACAGCATCAATTCTTCAGCGCTCAACCTTCTTTATGGCCTGCTGATTAAAACAAACAGATCTTCAGAACATGGCTTCTCTGGGTCTTGCTTCCTCATCTGTAAAACGTGGGTGATGGCAACCCCTCCGCAGAGCGATCCTGTGTCTGAAAGTCCCTCAACACCTGCCCTGCCCCATGGAGCTCAAGACACCAGGAGAGATCTCTAAACAGAAGTTGGCCCCTGTGAGTCCGTCCCTCTTTCTGTTTTGTTCCTTGATGTACTCTTATGTCTTTTTTTTTCAAAAAAAGTTTTGGCTGTGCCCTGCAGCATGTGGGATCTTAGTTCACTGACCAGGGGTGAACTTGCATCCCTTGCTTTGGAAGCGCAGTCTTAACTGCTGGACTGCCAAGGGGGCCCCTGTTCTGTCTTTTATTAAACAAGCAAAAATAATAATAAAAGCCCCTCAACCTCAGATGATACAGGCTCCGGAGTTTGCTCCAGTAGCCTCAGGGCGGCCTGAATATGGTTGGATGTGAGCCTGGGTGGAACCACCTTCTAAGACGCCCTGCCACCCTCAGCACCAATGGACACCCACCCAGGAAAGAGCTTCCTCTCCCCCCTGACCGCCCCTGTCGCCTCTTCCTCAAGGCTGGCTTACCTGGTGTTGTCCGTTCAGGAATAAGGCAGGAATAATGGAGGGCTGGCAGGCAGTGTGTCCTCTCAAACACCAGACACTTGGAGGGGACCATGAGTCCAGATGTTGCCCCGCCCACACCTGAGCCAAGGTGTCCGTCTCCATCCGACGTCACAGCATCTCTCCTCTCCTTCTTTCTCCAGAATCTGTCCATCAATTCAGGAAATGACAGTAATGACCAGTAGAGTGGAACTGACCTCACGGCCTCAGACCGCCATCGGGCCCCACCAAAGCCAGCCAGAGACTTCGCAGACTCTGCTCTGTGCTACGAAAATGGGCAAGAGTTCATTTATTAAGTTGATGTAAAAGAATGACATTGGAATACTTTAATAAATCACAGAAATGTGGTATTTTAAGTAACACGTGGAAGGAAAAAATTAGAAAGTCGTACCCCTCAATGTTGAATGAAATAAAATGAAATAACAAGGGGAAGAACCCTGGGAGGGGTCAGAGCCGAAGACCCTTCATCCCACAGGAAAAACACTGGCCTCAGGTGATTCAAATTTGTTGACTGTCCAGCCTCGCCTGTGCTAAACATTGCTTCTGCATGGTCTATACAAGGACATCAGATTTCCTGGTGGTTCAGAAGGAACGAAAACACTATATATTAGCAGTATTAGCCATAATTTACAAGGTACAAAGGAAATTTTTGGACAGATACTTAACTGTGTTCAATTACTAGAAATGTCTGTTTGCTGTAAAATAAGGTAATCATTTCAAATAACTCACTTTATAATGAAAAAGGATTTCAACTTCTTTTCCCCCATTTACAGCAGGACGGCTTTTGCCAAATAAGTTGAATCAGCTTTTCATGATTATATATTTCAGCTAGCTGCCTTAAACGCCTTCTGGAACGAGGCAGGGTATAATAAATAATATATATTTTAAAGTTAAATCTGGACTATATCACAGGGAGCCTGCTAGTTAGGACCTGGGCGGTTCTTCAACCAAGAACCTAGAAAAAACTGTGTCTGTGCAGCAGGCAAAGCGTGGTTTGCAATTTCTTTTTAAAAAAAGAAAAAGAAAAAGCTGATTTAAGACGTCACCCAATCCATTTGCTTTCAGTCTTTCAAGAACTCGGTTTCTACCTCTTTGATTTCCACTTAGATCAGAAGACAACCAGAAAACCCCAAAAGGAAGGCCAGAGGTATGTGGACATCAGAGCTTCTGAGGCCAGATTCATCAAACCCTTCCTTTCTCTTGTACACAAGCCATCCTCCTGGTTTAGGACCACCCTCCCCCAGAGACACGTTGTGACCCTCTCTGTAAGGTTCTCCCCAGGAAAGTATGGAAAATCTCAACCCTGTCATTGCTTTAGGGGCAAAATTCTGTTGGAGAGACGCCAAGGCTAACCTCACTATTAATAGTTCTGTGTCACTTGAATGATAGGGTTTAAGTATAACAGGGAGGGGTATTCTTGGCAGATGGGAGAGCTACAGACACTGGATTAGTCACAAGACAGAGGCAGGAGGAGATAATCTTTGTGTTTTTCAGCCAAGGACTAAAGCACAAAACCCTGTCTTTGATTGTTGCTGTTAAGTCTCTTAAGTCGGGTCCAACTCTTTCTTGTGACCCCACGGACTGCAGCATGCCAGCCTCCTCTGTCTTCCACTGTCTCCCGGAGTTGACTCAAATTCATGTCCATTGAGTCACTGATGCTGTTCAACCATCTTGTCCATCTTTGATAATGGATTGTAAGCCATGATCAGTGGCAGAAAGGGGACATATTCATTCTGATCAATTTATGGCAATGTAACAAACAATGGTAGTAAGGGCATGGAGCTGTGCACAGATAGACTCTGATGAATTTTCATCTGCTTCACCCATGCTTTCCTGCCAAAGAGATCTAACCTACGCCGATCCAACAAAAACACATTTGAGAACATGCCGGGCACCTCTTAAACTAACAAAGGAGACAAGAAAGTTGGAACATTAAGGTTTAAAGTAAATGTTGATCTGTGGGACCATTAATAATAATAATAATAGTAATAAAACTCACTGCATTTGGCATGGATTTGTCCCATTGTCTTCTTCTGAGTTGAAAACACCAATAAAAAAAGAGCGTAGCTCTGAATGGGAAAACAATATTGCCTCCATCTTAAAGATTTCTCCTGTCAGGAAACCCCAGGGAGTTGTCAAAAATAAATAAAACCTAAGCTAAAGAGAAGGTTATTGAGAAGGTGGGAAATGGTAAGGACTTTATATGTGGCAGCCAGGAATGTCGGGTTGACAGATGTAGCTAATTCTGAAAGAATAACTTCCTATCCGAATAACAAGTAAAAGGTGTTTAAAGAGAGAGGGGTTATATTTTACTTCAGCAAGTACAGCTTTTGGTGAGTGTGACATAAATATTGATTAAAAGCTCTGTGTCGTTTCCTTCACTTTGACAGATAGAATATCAGGTCATCAGAGTTTTTCCTCCTTGGCTGGAGTATTATAGAGATCAGATTTACCAAGTCTCCTCTGCTATATTCAGGGGAAATAGGAATTTAGATTTTATATTATTTTAATTCAAAAAGTGCATGTGTTGGGGGGTGATTGTTAGTTTGGCTTGTTCTGAAGCATTTTTAAGGATGCCCCTCGGTGTGGTGGTGTTTACTATATACAGAGTTATATTCATTTCGGGGTCAGAGCTCATAGGGTGAGTCATTTTCCTGGGGGCTGGGTCCTGAAGAAGCAGTTGACAGGAGTGTTTCTGTTGCTTCCTGCAGGGTAGTTGATGAGTGAAAGTTGCTCAGTCGTGTCTGACTCTGTGACCCCATGGACTGTAGCCCACCAGGCTCGTCTGTCCATGAAGGATTTCCCAGGTAAGAATACTGAAGTGTGTAGCCATTCCCTTCTCCAGGGGATCTTCCTGACCCAGGGACTGAACCCGGGTCTCTTGCATTGCAGGCAGATTCTTTACCATCTGAGCCACCAGGAAAGCCCACAGGGCATTTTGCCAGCCAGAAATGGTTAATGAAAGACGCAGCGGGGAGTCCCATGCTGGACAGTGGGAAAGATGACCAACACAGGAGACTAGTTATGTTCATAAGTCACTTGGTCCAATCCTGTTAACTCCTTGCCCTATTGCTTCCTCAGTTCAGTCGCTCAGTCATGTCCGACTCTTTGTGACCACATGGACTGCAGCATGCCAGGCCTCCCTGTCCTTCACCAACTCCCGGAGTTTACTCAAACTCATATCCATCGAGTCAGCAATGCCATCCAACCATCTTGTCCTCTGTCGTCCCCTTCTCCTCCTGCCTTCAATCTTTCCCAGCATCAGGGTCTTTTCCAAGGAGTCAGTTCTTCCCATCAGGTGGCCAAAGGATTGGAGTTTCAGCTTCAACATCAGTCTTTCCAATGAATATTAAGGACTGATCTCCTTTAGGATGGACTGGTTGGATCTCTTTGCAGTCCAAGGGACTCTCAAGTGTCTCCTCCAACATCAGAGTTCAAAAGGATCAATTCTTTGGCGCTCAGCTTTCTTTATAGTCCAACTCTCACATCCATACATGACAACTGGAAAAACCATAGCCTTGACTAGATGGACCTTTGTTGGCAAAGTAATGTCTCTGCTTTTTAATATGCTGTCTAGGTTGGTCATAAAACCCATACTTTCCCAATGAATGAATCAATGAATGAAAGAGTAATCAGACTTCACTCAGTTGGTAAGATAGAATTAATTGGGAAATTCCATTTTTTCAGGAGCACTGTGGCAGATGTTTGAGTGCTTGCTTTCTTCCTGGCCAATAGAACACCAAGTCTATCTGAATGGTGGACAAGCCCGGGGAAGGGGTGAAGCATGCCAGGGGTCCTGGACCTCTTTCCAGGCCCTGGCCTAGTGGTGAGGGTGTGATCCAAGACACAAGGGCAGTGTGCTGGGACTCCTGGAGGAGATGTCCCTCTATAAATGAGGGCCAAGGTGTCCCAGTCTGCCAGAGAAGCCTCCAGTCCTGGGCAACAAGGGATGGCTGGTCACCCTGGGAGTTGACCAGTTGTTTTTTTTTAATTGTTTATTTTTGGTTGCACTTGGTCTTCATTGTGGTGTGTGGGATTTGTCTAGTTGTGGCATGTGGGGGCTACTCTCCAATTTCAGAGCTTGGGCTTCTCATTGCAGTGGGCTCTCTTGTTGCAGAACACAGCCTCTAGGGCGTGCAGGCTTCAGTAGTTGCAGCTCGCCAGCTCTAGAGCACAGGCTCCATCGTTGTGGTGCCCAGGTTTAGTTGCTCTGTGGGATGTGGAATATTCCCCAGACCAGGGCGCTATCTAACCTGTGTCTCCTGCATTCACAGTTGGAGTCTTAACCGCTCTACCATCCGGGAAGCCCTTGACCACATTTTCTTCCCTGTTTGAGATGTTGTGTTTACAGCTGCAGCAAAATCTTGGGACCACAGGATGATGTGTTTAAGGATGAAAATCCAAATCATTGAGAACAAAGAAGGCTGAGCACTGAAGAATTGATGCTTTTGAACTGTGGTGTTGGAGGACTCTTGAGAGCCCCTTGGACAGCAAGGAGATTCAACCAGCTCATCCTAAAGGAAATCAATCCTGAATATTCATTGAAAGGACTGACGCTGAAGCTCTAATACTTTGGCCACCTGATGCAAAGACCTGACTCATTGGGAAAGACCTTGATGCTGGGAAACATTGAGGTCAGGAGGAGAAGGGGAAGACAGAGGATGAGATCGGTGGATGGCATCGCTGACTGAACGGATATGAGTTTGAGCAAACTCTGGGAGATAGTGAAGGACAGGGAAGCCTGGTGTGCTGCAGTCCACGGGGTCTCAAAGAGTTGGACACTACTGAGCAACTGCACAAGAACAATAAGCAAAAATCCAGCAACAACAACAAAGCAGAAAAAGAATCCTCAGTGACATGCCTGAGCCACACGAGAACAACCTTGGTATTTTCTACTTCTCACTTGAGACATGACAGAATGTCTTTATAGCTCAAGTCCCTCTTAGAAAGGGACTGTAACTTTCTGCTGAAGGCAGTCCTAATAGATACAGTCGGTAAAGGACAGGAGCAAGTGTCAGCAAAAATAAGACCAGTGGAGTCTTGGTGACACAGAAGGCAGGATCTCTGAGCTCTCCAAGCTCTATAAGCACATCAGCCACCAGTGGGAGACCTTGGATCCGGGTCTCAGGCTGAAAACTGCTCGGGCCTCTTGCTGTCACGGGTGCTGCCCTACACACCATCTGTTCAAATATTGTCAGACAGAGAAATCCTGTGTTGAAAAACTCCAGCACAATTACACTACACGTTTTACTTGCTGCAACAGGCAGAGCC